CGCTCCATCCTGTACAGGCAGTGCCCCTGCACGGTGTCACCCACCTGTACAGGCAATGCCCCTGCACGGTGTCACCCACCCGCTCCATCCTGCTCAGGCAGTGCCCCTGCACGGTGTCACCCACCTGCACAGGCAATGCCCCTGCACGGTGTCACCCACCCGCTCCATCCTGTACAGGCAGTGCCCCTGCACGGTGTCACCCACCTGCACAGGCAGTGCCCCTGCACGGTGTCACCCACCCGCTCCATCCTGTACAGGCAGTGTCCCTGCACGGTGTCACCCACCCGCAGCACCAGCACGGATCGCACACACAGGGATCACACACCAGTCACAGGCTGCTGCTGCCTGCAACCCCTGCAGCCCCCAAGCGCTGCCGCAAGGCGCCAACAGCCTCTTCCCCATCCCTCTGCAGAGCACTCGTGCTGCTGTAGACACACACACACGGCACCCCGGGTCCCCCACACAAGGTCTGTCACCCTCTCCTGCACAGCAGGGGCACACGATGCACGGTGGCGTGGTGGGTCCCCTTCCCACCAGCCCCCAAGCAGAACACCAGGGCTCCTGGTGCGACACTAAGGGCAGTGCTGAGGTGGAACATCCCTCTGGAGTCCCTGCCTTGGTGTCTCCACAGGTCCTCAAGGCCAGAAGGGATGTAGGGAGGGGCCTGAGGGGAGCAGGCACTGTCACTCTCTGCCTGCACACCCCAGAACTTCCTTCTGCCCATCCTGGAGGGCATTTGGGCTGAGGATACAGAGGGTGCAAAGCACAGCCCCAGAGATCATTCCATCCGTCAGCCTGGGCAGCAGGGAACCTCAGCATGGTATCCCCAGCCTTGTCGTTCTCTGCCTGCGCAGGTGGCCCAGGTCAGCAAGCCCGGAGAGCGGTGGATGAGCGCTGGGCACCGGCCTAGCCACACGCACACACCGGCACCATGGACTTCGTCATGAAGCAAGCGCTGGGCGGTGAGTGCGAGCTGTTCCCCCTCAAGGGTCCCCCTCTGGGAGCAATGCAGGCCCAGCACCCCAGTAGCACAGTGGGAGGGACATGGCAAGGGGACAGAGTGACACAGAGTGCCACCAGCAATGGGGAGCTGCTGCTGGAGCCCTCCAGGTTTCCCACTTCCAGTGCCATCAGCGGCTGGCTGGGGAATCCTGGCTCTTCTGCTGTTAAGTGGGATTCCCCAGCAGGTCCCCTGGGTGCTGAAGAAGGAGCTGCTGGCATCTCCCCCAGCTGACACAGAACCAGGGCAGAACAGCCAGCCCGTGGTACTCCCCATCCCCACAGCCTCCCGAGCCTGTCTGCAGCCCACTTCAGCACAGGTGGCCCTGGGGATGTCCCAGGTCCTCCTTGCCAGGGACCTCCTTGCCCTCCCTGCTCCTGCAGGAGCTTTGGCAGAGCACCACGCTGCAGCACACTTGGGGACCAACCAAGGGTCTTATTATGCACAGGGGCCACCAAGGACATGGGGAAGATGCTGGGGGGCGAGGAGGAGAAGGATCCCGACGCGCAGAAGAAGGAGGAGGAGAGGCAGGAAGCCCTGCGCCAGCAGGAGGAGGAGCGGAAAGCCAAGCACGCCCGCATGGAAGCGGAACGGGAGAAAGTCCGGCAGCAGATCCGTGACAAGGTGGGCACACACCTCCCCTGGGCCCGCCCCTGCCCCCCCTG